TAAGTCTGTCTATTCTATTTCGAAAAGTCAACCCATTTGTGGCATTAAATTTTTAAAATTACAGTCGGACCTCTATTTAATGAAGTCGCTAAGTCCCGAAAAAAGTTTGTTGTGTGGGAAATTCGTTAAAAAGAAATTCGTCTTTTAATATACTTTAGAAACCCCATAAAACAAATTTTAATTTCATAAATACCATCTATTATTTAAAAAATTAATTATTCACGTTTTGAAAATTAATATCTGTTCATTTTACGTATCTTACCCATAAAAAAAAAGGAATCTCCTAGAAAAACAAGAAAAAAAAAATAGATTGTCTTGGAATACACTATATTTTCAACTTTAAAAAATAATTTTATATTAAAACTGATGAATTTTTTTAACATTTCCTAATTTTAAGCCTACGAAATTTTAAGAGGTACCTTATTTTATAACCAGTAATTTTAAGCATACACTACTACATGCGTCCTTAAATTTAATTTCTGATGAAATTTGTTAGTTTTATTTGAGTTTTGTTAAAAAAATTATGGTCATTTCATTGTTGTAGTTAAGTTAGGCACCTGGTAATACCAGTTCAAGGTTATTGGTCACCATAAAATGTGCTAAAAGAGCATAATTTGAAAAAAAATCCTGAAATATTTTAAATATAGGTAGGAAAAAAAAATCGAATTACGAGAGAGAGTTATAGAGAAAATGAACTTTACTTATTTGGAGGTTATTTTGCAAAGAAAACAGTAAAATGTTCTTGGTTTCAAGAAAAAGTTCGCAAAATAGAAAAATTCATAAGTAGAGGTTCGTTATATATCGAGTTCGACAATAATTTAAAATTATTTCTCTTTATCTCCATACCCAGAGCATCTCTGTAGCATATGTAGGTTCCGATTGACAAATTTCTTTCGCCATATAACCGCGATCTACCCGATTGTATATATATTTATTCTTTCAAGCATGGTTATAATATTAAAGATATTCCACATACCTCTTGCTCCTGATATCTACTAGCACAGAATTTAGTTTGATCAAGACATAAAACATTGCGCCTGTGAAGCAAAAAATTAGTTTCTTGGTAATTTTATAGTCACAAAGTGTAAAACAATAAAAATTCCGAGTCTTGTCGAGAATTACAAGAAAATTGAAATGCGTGAGTCGCCATCAGGAAAGTATTGACTTTTCAGGAGCAATACTCAAGTGATTTTTTTCGAAAACCGATTAAAATTGCAAGCCCATCTTTAAAATTATAAATTCTTCCTAAAATATTTTAATACGAATTAGATAAGACAACGTGTTTAAAATTTTTAAATATGTTATTAAACTTAAACCGAGTCACATAGATCAAATTAAAAGTTCGCACCTAACATTATGTTTATAGGCAATTTTTAATTTTAATTACAAATATATTGATTGTCACCCATCCGGTATAGTGGTTAGTGATGCTGATTGCGGTGCCGTAGGGCATGGGTTCGATTCCCGGGGAAGACACGGATGTTTGTTTTGTAATCCTTCATGACTTTAAATTCCTTCTGTTCTTTGTGATGTGTGCTTCATGCTTACTTCTGTAAGCCCGAGTGTGATACTTTGTGGGCATGGGCATAAATGTTCTCAATAATATATATATAAAGGTGGCCCTGCGAGCAACTGTCTTGCCAATTTATATTTACATTATTTTGAAAGTAGTTAATTTCAATATTATAAAAGTTCTTCATTGGGAGAGTAATTTACATGTTTCTATATTTAGAAATATTGTTATTAATTATATACAACGCAATAAATTTCTAGTGTCAAAAAATCAGTAATAATAAATAACTATAAATATTTTACTAAATATTGCTTAAATCAGAAATACCCAATTAATTTTATTAATAGTTATATGAATAAAGCTATTCGAAATAGTAAGGATTAAAAATTCTTAGATTAATAATAGTTTATTACTATAAATTTACATATTTCCTAGCTATAGAGTTACCCCTCCATATTTTAATATTAGATAAAATTATTATTATTTAATTCATATATACTCTAGTGTCACTAAAGTTATGTGGTAATTTGTAACTCTTTTTAATTTTAATTTCCATTCTTTTTATACTTTTGCTAAGTGCTACATTTCAGCCATTCACATGCTTTGAATCTGCATTAGGGTCCAGAATTTGGCAACAACTTATTTATTGCACTCAGATTTAGCGCGGGCTCTGCATTTTTAAGTGCAATTTTAGGTAAGTTACCTCTATCTTGTAAAGGAATTAGATATTCCTATCCATTACTTTCAATAGGTTTTTGCTCTATTATTTACATAAAGGAGGAAGGTTAGCTGGCCAAAAAACATGTTATATAAATCCCACTTTTATATAAATTATTTTATATATTAGCTGTGTCCTAAGTCAGCAATGTTTATAATACTGCAGCATCCATTTTATAATTTTTAATCTCGGTTGCTCATGTGTCCTTCATTGTGCGATTTTACTACTGTCTATGTGTTTTTCGAATGTGATTGTTGGATGTTTATCCCTTGTTTGTGGAGAATTAGACTATATATATATAGAGAGAGATTTTCAAAAATTTTATGTTTTAGTGAATATTGAACAGGTTTTATTTGTGTTTTTCCCTTACATGATTCTTCTGTTACATATTCGAAAACAAATTTGATTAAAATTATAGATAAGCATTATGCAAAGTAAAAACGATATTAGAATTGCTTATGGAGTATATGTTCAATTAAGGTATATGAAATATTTAGTAAAAAGAATATAAATAACACATACCATTGTTAGAAGACTCAAAAGCACTATAAGGTTTATAGGAGGCCTGAAATATATGAAAAAATAGCTATAAGGAACTGTAATATCTGTATAAATACACAAAATATTAATAGAAAATTACTAAACAAAGATGTTTTTAAATATACAGTCAGACCCCGAATTAACGAATTCATCGGGACCAAACATTTTATTCGTTAATTCAGGGTTATTCGTAATATCGGGGTCCAAAAAGTATATTTTTTTGTACTTACCATAGTTAGAAATTACACATTTTTTATTCAGAAGAGCTAAAAGTACTATTAGCTAATTATTACACACCAGTTAATTGGAAATTTTAAAATATTGACTAATAGATGTTTGACATCTTTTTCATTCCTGACTCGAGAGTTCTTTTTCGACTTTATGCAGGGAAGAAAATACTGAGTACCTTACATCCTGCTGAAGGAATTATGTTTTCACGGTTTCCAAACAATGTAAAACATTAGAAAATATAAGTTTTGATAGGAGTTTCAATATAAATTTCTGTATAAAAATCGCTAAGCATTCATTTCTAACAATCCGCCATGCTATACAAATTTTCTACAAAACCGGACACCTCTTTTCTCTAGAAAGAGAAAATAGTAAAATCTCTTAAAATATCTCCTGCATTGTGGAGTGTGATGTCCTATTCAAAACTCACGCGTTGGGTTACACTCATGACTCATCTATACTTGTGAAGTCTAATAATGGGTTGCACCCTTCGCTGTCGGAATTTTCTGCTTAAAGACTTTACTCTTTAAATCCAAACTAATGAAAAAAAAATTTGATTGTTGAAATAATTCGTTAATTCGAGGTTTATTATTCGTTAAATAGGGAGGGGTGGAGACTGCCTTCATTTTAATCGAGGAAAAAAAATTCGTTAAATATGCCTTCGTTAAATTGGGGTCCGACTGAAAAATGTAACCAATAATCTATGGTCTAAAATCCTGTCTTGTGAAATGTTTAAAAGTATATGCATATTTGTTAGTGTGAAGACAGTTTCCTTATATTCAAAACATAAGCGATCTCTCTCTCTCTCTCTCTCTAAATGTGCCATTCATTAATATACTTTAAGGTAGAAAGATAAAAATATATAATCACTCTAGTATATTTTTATATTTGTATTTTATAATTTTATACCCTACATAACCATTAAAAACGTATATTTTCATTTTAAATTCAATTAATATAAAATTATTTTTGAGTTCCCTTAAGAAATATTTTTCTTGCCTAGTTTTCTTATTTTTGCTTCGAAGGTAATTAACAACTTCAAAGAATCTTTAATGGGTAAAGATGGCATTCAAAAATACACACGAAAAAAATGTACCCGAAGATACAAATGCTTTCACTAATTACTACATATTTTTGAAAAAGAATATAAAGAAAACAGCAACACAATTTACGATCAATTAAGTATCAAAACATTGCTGAAATCAGAGCATTGAACACTAATTAGTGCAATTGAGAAACTACGCTTGATTAATCAGGGAATTCAATCTAGTGGTTCATAAAAATAACACGTAGTATGGTCTAACCGGTATTTCCAAAAATTACTTCATTCGTTTTACAGAAGTCAATATTTCTTTAGCTTAAGGAAAATAAACAAAACTCCGCATGAAGCATTTATTATGCATGTATATGCACATGTGTTTACACGTCCAGATAGTAAAAATGTACTGTACGATTAAAGTCAACGCTCCTTTTTTTTTGAAAAAATTTACATGTATCTTAAAAAACCTGAAAAAATTATTTTTGCTTCTATTTTTTTAATGATGAACAGAATTTATGCCTAGAAAATAAGTTAAAAATTATAGTGCTTTGAATACAGTGCTTCCCATTAATTTTATTGAGTAATTCAACAAAAATTAGTTTTTCTTTAATAATAGCATTTAATTTGCCCGTATTATTCTAATGCGACTACGGCTAATCACACTCCAGGAAAGGATTTAATGTGCGGTTCCTTTCACATTCCGTCAAAAGGTCCACTAACCTGCAGTTGGTTTGTAGAAAGAAGTCCGGCTGAGTCAGTGAACATTAACATCGCACTACTCAGCTATTCGAAGGTTTCGTTTTGTCGACGGACCTCATCATTTTGAACCATGGTCAAGTGATGAGGACAACACCAGAACTAGCACTCACCTCTCCTAACTTCCACATTACACCACCGGGAGGACGTTTGGGCCTCGATATGTTTAACGTGCATCGGCTCCCTCTGCACGGCGGATTTAAAAGCGGTACGAGGCTCGAACTCATGACCCGACGAGCACGAGTCCGTTACCTTGACCACTAGGTTATCGTGGTCACAGAATGAAGTTCTCCCACACTTATTTTGAGTGTTAGGCAAGGACTTGACTTAATGGAGGACAGAGCTCCAGAGAACTTAAAAGGACCCGTAACAGAACGCTTGTGATATCAAGAGTTATAATATTTCGGTTTATCGCGGTGTCACCTATAGATCAACAGCTGTAGTTGCGATTTCATCTGTAATCAATCAACAAATACTATATACTGCGCTGTTTTAAAATTATGGTTAAATCCATTCCACACTGAAATCTCACAGTAAAAAGTCATATGTACTAGATTGTAGTAGTGTTGGCTGGTGTAAGTGTGTGAGAGAGAGAGTGAGTATCACTTTTAATTCAGTAATGACGTCTTCAGAATAGCCTTACCTCCTTTATTATGAGCACACATAAGCAGATTAAAGCACAATTACGTTATATTTTAACATTGAATAGAGAGCGGCATTTTGGAGGACACAACACAAAGAAAAAAAAAGCAGCAAGTATTTACAATCTTACGTGATGGCGGCAAGCAGAGAAAGAGAGCGCGCTTACATCAGATTTTGGTGTTTATATACCAACAGTGCACAAGCGCGTGACTATTACGTAATAGTAGTTCTGATTGGCTAGAATGCGCGGGATACGGAAATCGGTTTAGCCGATTACGATTAAGATTACAATACTTATTTTTAAACCTAAGAATTAAAGATTTATAGATCATTAAAGAGTTAATTAAAAGTATGTTAGAGGGAATTATTACATATATATCAGACGTTCAACAGAACGTTCATGTTCAGACTATGAACATTACTACTCTGGCCACGGACATTTAGTGAATACAACTGGTACCGACCTTTCAACATTAATTTGCAGTGAAAACTGTAAGTGTAAAAAGCACAGATATAATTTTTCTTAAAATATTTTTAATATCAATATATAAACAAATACTTTAAACACAAAAATGTGAACGCGAAAAAAAAAGAGAGAGAGAGAGAGATGAACATAAAAAAAATGTCGGACTTCTACATATATTGAAATACTGCTTATTTAAAAAAAGAAATGACATACCTTAAAAACTTAAAGAGTTGTAGCTCTAGAAGTATACTATATTTTCAACAACCTGTGATAATACCCGAATAAATTATTTCAAAACATACGAACATTGCATACAAGTATTGCAGGTTTTTTCGTAAAAAAGAGGGCATGCGTTATACGGCGAATATATCTAAAAATTAAAAAAAGTAACTTGAAAGTATGGGTGCGCGTTATACACCGGATTTTACGGTACATAAATATAGAATTACGGTATCCATACAGCACTTAAATATTTACATAATTAAAAAGTTTCATTTTACCAGATTTAAATCTATTCTTGTTGACTCGGGATATTTTCCATTGTAATTTTTAAAAAGTAAAGCTTGCAAATACACAGGAGTAATCTATTATTAATCCTTTAAAGATAACTCACATGATAAAAATATATTTAAAAGAAATTCTACAGGTTACGATTTGTTTCAAATCACATATATAAAATGAGTGTGTACATAAAAATCTGCTTTTCATTAAAATTAACTAGTTGACCTTCTTGTTCTACTTTCAAGCAGAATTCTCTCATCTTGCAGTTCTCTTTAGGGAAACTAATAAACATTTTCTTTAACGATGTAGAAAATACTATAAATACTTAATTCCAAAAATTGTATATTATCAAATTTTATTGCTATATTGTAAAGAGTTACAAACAAGACAAAAACGCTTTTCGATCTGGGATCATTTAGCATTGTTGAAAAAAAATTAAGAAAATAGAGGCAAATTACAAAAATTTTTCAACAAAATATTTAGAAACTAGTTCAATATGATTATTTTGTATAAAATTCACTCAATCATTTATAATCAAGAGAGAATGGACTACGGCTAGAGACCGATCGATTGTTTACTAACCTCTTCCTTTTCACTCCCTTCAAAATGACAAGTTGAGAGGTTACGCCCTATTTCTCGTAACTAATGTGGCCGCCGTAGCCTAGTAGTCATGAGTTCGAGTCTAGTACCGCTGAAGACCCACCGTGTAGGGGGGAGATGCACATTAAATCTGTCAAGGCACAAACATCCTCTCAATTGGTGTGGTGTGGAAGTTAGGAGAGGGGATGCCAGCTCAAGTGTCGTCCTCGTCACTTGACCAGGGCTCAAAATCACGAAGTCTGTCGCCAATACCCCTCGAGTAGCTGAATAGTGCAACGTTAATATTCACTCACTATTCTCGTGACTGACATTTCCGGGCTCGAGAGCTTAAAAGTAACGTTTTAAAAAGAGTATTCTTATTCCTGGAAAAAAAATTGTTTCCTATTTTGCATATCCCCTGGCAGTACCCGAAAATTTATAATGTTATTGGAAATACAGTCAGACTCTGAATTAACGAATTCATCGGGACCAAAAATTTTGTTCGTTAATTCGGGGTTATTCGTTATATCAAGGTTCAAACAAAGAAACAATTTTTTTTACACTTACCTTTTGGATATTCTAAAACAGGCAACTACACAATAAACATCCATGGCCAGAAATTACACACTTTTTATTCGACAGCTAAAAATACCATTAGTGAATTATTGCTCACCAGTTGATTGGAAATATTTAAATATTATCTACTAGTTGTTTAACAATTTGTTTGATTCCTGACTCGAAAGAGTTCTTTTTCAATTTTATGCAGAGAAGAAATACTAAATCATTTACATTCTGTTGCATGAGGTTTGTTTCCAATTTCCAATCAACAAAAGCATTAGAAAATTTAATAGTTTTGATAGGAGTTTTACTATCCATTTCCGCATCAGAATCACTACTCATTACTCAGACAAGTCAACAATTTTCTCAGCTTCAGTTCCCCAGATAGGCAGTCCGTCATCAAATGTAGTATCCTGTCTTATCAAAAAAGCTTGTCCTATTTAAAATTCATACGATAGATTGCACTCATGAGATTCGTCTGTAACTGTAAAAAGTCTAACAATGAACTACACCCTTTCCCGTCGAAATTTGTTGCTTACAAGAAAAGTCTTTGCTTCGCACAAAAAAAAAAATGTCATTTGAAAAAAAATCCAATTTTTTTCTAATATAGACTAAAAAAAATTTCCAGTTGTTGAAACAATTTGTTAATTCGGAGTGTACTATTCGTTAAATAGGGGGTTTGGGCCTTCTTTTTAATCTCGAAAAGATAGAAAGACGTTAAACAGCGCAATTCATTAAATAAAGGCTTGTTAAATTGGAGTCCGACTAAAATATGTTTATTTTCAACTAGTTATTTTAAACTACACTTTTTATGCATATTTCTTGTAAAAAAATAGGCATTTTCATTACAATTTTCTGGAAAATTATGTGATTATTAAGTGGTAAATGTCGAGTTATTTGTGTAGATCTCGTTATCCCGCTCAAATAAAGAGGACGGTTATTGAGCTGGCATCTCACGCTCCAAACTTTCACACCAACGTGACAACCTTGAGCCTCGACAGATTTACCGGGCATCAGCTCCACTATACGGAGGGTCTGGACAACAATACGCAAGAATTATGTTTATTAATTAATGTTACCTTGGGCTGTAGTTGTTGCGTGTTTATGGTTGTATTTCAGGACAACGTGTTCCAATTCTGCTAAAGACCCATAGTTAGTGAGAATTAGATGAGCGCTAAATATTTTGCAGCTTAAAGTTCTCGCGTTAGTTTGGAGTGGAGAGAGGAAAATGCCTGTTCAGGTGTCCACCTTCTTTAAGCTAAACTCAGTGGCACAAAAGCCCATGTGGGCCAAGGCCTACTGTGCCCATCTCAGTATACGTGACCTTGATCACTGAGGTGCAAGAGTAGATGTTCTGATCAGGTGGTCAATCTGACGCGAAAACCCCCAGTATTTAGTCCCCAAGCAAGCTTGGTTCTCATTTATCGACCCACTGAAGAGATGAAAGACTGAGTACACCTTGCCCAGTCCAGGGATAAAACCCTGGACCCAATGTTGATTTATGCTCATTTCGGGCCCTGGGCGCAGAAGATCTACAGGCTCCTTGGCACTGGAGGATCGAAATTTATTACCAGAAAATCTGGTTAAGTCCAGCTTATCCGGGCCCTTCTAGGTCCTGGACCTCTCTGATGGATAAACCGGCACTGCCTGGACCTGTGGTGTGGAAGCACTATACGCCACCTTTCGGCTGCTCCACCTTATCTTATCGTGGGTCAAAATCACGGGACGTATTGGCTGCGGTAAGTGATCCTTTGTGTGTGAAAAAGGACAACCGGAAGCGTTCAATACAAGAAACGATGTTACTTGCGTACATTTACACAATGTACTATTGACTGGTCAAGTAACTTTGAATTACTGGCAATAAGGGCCATTCTAGGGCCAGAACTTTCAAATTTCTGGCTATGGTAGCCTAGTGGTAGCCGATAGGTGGGATTGAGTAATAACCACGATAAGTGTCGAATTCGCGCAAGTCGGGATTTATAAATTCCTCAGAAAAATCTATAGGAATTACTTTTGGTAGGAACAGGAGAAGAAAGTGATAATTTAGAAACAAAAATGTTTAGTAAAATAGATAACACATAGATATTTAAAATCGCAAACCGAAATTATTTAGGTGCAGAAGGTTTCGTAAAATCTAACAATTGAGTCTGCAGGCTCAAAGATTTTTTCTCTCGCAAAATTTCCTCGTAGTATGCTAACAATGTGTTTTATTCCTTGTTTCGTTGAAAAAATACACTCTTCGTTGGAGTCTGAATTTTCTAAAATTTGTAATCCTTTTTTAATTAAACTGAGGGTCTTCTGTTAAATTCCCAACTGTCATTCGATCTTCTGTGATTCAATTAAAGACTCAAGTTCTTGAATGCCTTGTTCTTGCTTATTTTTTTTTACGAGTTCATCAACTGTCAGCACCCGATAGGAGGAGAGAATACAGCAGTTCTTAAACGTCATTACTATCCATTTCTAAATTTATTTGCCTGGCAAGATACGCACAAATTCTTCTGTTACATTACCGATTCCACTAATT